TTAAAAAAAAAAAAAAAAGGAGGAAGGTGTCAGCTGAGAAGATGGAAGACTTAGTGGTTCCTCAAATTCAAGTTAAGAAAGTACAGAGTTCAGGCTTCTTTTATGTCAAGGGAAGGAGAGATTGGCAGGGGGCGGGGTGGTGGTGCATTTGAGGCGATTGACCACTATAGACATTTGGGCACCAGCAGTGGTCCGAGGAAGATTGTGCCACTTGATGTGAGTCTGGTCACAAGGTTCCTGCAAATCTTTGATAAACAATACACACTTCCTTATCTCCTCAAACCACAAGCAGAATTCCTCTAATAATTAGCATGTCTATGCAAGACTGAGCAGAAGCTGTTAGCCTGAAGGCCATGGGAACAAAGCAGGCTGAACAAGAGGGAATCAGAGAGACTGAGCATTTCATTGTTACAGAAGGTGATGAACTTAGTTTCTATTTAACTTATTAGATTTGAATATTATCCTGGAATCCTATTTCTATTCCAAGTATTTTTTTTTTTTTTAATATATCTTTTATTGATTTCAGAGAGAGGAAAGGAGAGGGAGAGAGAGAGACAGAAACATCAATGATGAGAGAGTCATTGATCAAGCCCACAACCTGGCATGTGCCCTGACCAGGAATCGAACCCTGATCGCCTGGATCCTGGGTCGACGCTCAACCTCTGAGCCACGCCTGGCTGGGCCCAAGTATTTTTTTATAATTTTTAGAATATTATCGGGTTATTTTTTATTCTCTCATGTTTATTCTCTCATGTTTATTCTCTCATATTTAATGAGCACATATTATGTGTGAGGCATGGAAGTAGGTGCTGGGACTACAATGGTGAACAGGCAGGCCAAAACAAGGTTCTTATGGATGTTATGTTCTAGTGGAGAAGACATAATACACAAATAAATACGTAATTTTATATAATGATAAATGTCTATGAAGAAACACAAAGCATGGTATTGACATAGAGTCAGTATCATGTGAGGTATAAAAGACTATTTTAGAGGTATTAGTTAGAAAAGACTCCTCTTGAGGAGGTATTGAGTTGAGAGTTGGATGAAGTAAGAGCAAGCCATGTAAATATCTGTTGAGAAAGTGTTCCAGGCAAAGGGAACAGTGAGTGAGTGTAAAGTCTCTGAGACAGAGTAGATTTGGTGTGTTCAAGAAAATGTAGGGGAGCCACTGTGGTGTGGTGTGTGTGTGGCACAGCATAAAAGGGTAAGTGGAGAGAGAAGGTTTAAGATGTTAGTAGGCCCCCCAGATTGTGTATGATTATTGAAAGAGGTAGATTTTATTCTAAGTATGATTGGAAGCCTTTGGAAATTTTTGAGCAGGGTTGTCATATAATCTGTTGCATGAGCTGTCAATGAACTAACTGTACAAGGTGAGGCAAAAGTAGGTTTACAGTTGTTTGGATAGAAAATAATATAACAATAAATTATAATACAAGAATAAACTGTGTATTTCACATACTCATAACTGTAAACCTACTTTTGCCTAACCCTGCATAGTAGAAGATTATTTAAAACATGACCACATGAGATTTTTAAGTGCCTAGAAATTGTGGGGACACTATCTTTGGTTTTATCAATATTCTTGTGTTACTTGGTAGCTAGGCAGGCAAAGAACTTAGGTTCTATGTAGTTTATTGGATTGGAATATATTTCTGGAATTTAAATAACAGTTTTTCAATTTTTAGAACATGCTTTTTTAAAAGTCACTCTGGCTGTAAAGAAGAGACTATTGAGAGCAAGAGTGGAATCAGAAAGACAAGTTAGAAGACTAATACCATGGTCTAGTGATCACTGGTGGTGGTTGGGACCTAAGACATTGGTGTGGTGCAATAAGGTAGTGAGAAATGATTATATTTTGCATTTATTTTAAGATAGATTTAATAAGACTTCCTTCTGGATTTGACATTGAGATGTGAAGGAAAAAGACGAGTCAAGAATGACTACTAAATTTTTGTCCTGAGTGAATGGTCATGCTATTAACTATGATGGGGAAGGATGAAGAACAGATTTGATAAGGGAAAAAAACACAAGTTCTATTTTTCTAGAAGTTAAGTTTGAGATGCTTCTTAGATTAGAGATGGAAATAACAAGAAGCCAATATGATATAGTAATTTGTAGCTCAAAGGAGAATCAGGGCTGGGGATGATATAAATTTAAGAATCATTTGCT